ACTGCCATCGTGGGACAGGACGTCGTGCTGCGCTGCCACTTGTCCCCGTGCAAGGATGCTGGGAGCTGGGATATCAGATGGATCCAGCACCGGTCCTCTGGCCTTGTGCACCACTACCGAAATGGAGTGGACCTGGAGCAGATGGCGGAATATAAAGGGAGGACAGAACTGCTCAGGAATGGTCTCTCTGATGGAAACCTGGATCTGCGCATCACAGCTGTGAGATCCTCTGATAGTGGCTCGTACAGCTGTGCTGTGCAAGATGGTGATGGCTATGCAGAAGCTGTGGTGAACCTGGAGGTGTCAGGTCAGTGGCTGGGGTGTCCATGCATGGAGAGCTCAATGACAGCAGCCTTTGGAAGAGGTCGGGGCTGAACTGCTCCATGAGATGCAGGAGTTGCAGTGCGTGCACGGTGTGATTTGGGGATGGATTTGCATGGATGAGGTGGTTAGGTCAGGTTTCTGGGATGGGTTTCTTCATGTCTCAGTGGCAGTGGGCACAGGATGCTCAGCAGCTCCTTCTCCTGTACCAAGTTGGGGATGCTGCCATTGTGTGTCACTGCTCCCTGCTTGCTGCCCCTTCGGGTTCTGTGATCTCCCACATCTGAGTCTTGATTTTTCACATCTGGCAATGGAAAAGGAACCTTTGTCCTGATATTTTTCTAGATCCCTTTTCCCAAATCGTCCATCCCTGGAAGGTGGCTCTGGCTGTGGTCATCACACTTCTGGTTGCGTCATTTGCTGTCAGCACTGTTTTTCTCTACAGAAAGCAAGGTGAGCTGAGAGTGGAGGGGATGGAGCACAGGGAGCTGTTGTGCAGGGACAGGGATGGTCGGGGTGGTGCTGAGCTCTGCTCCATGGAGGTACACAGGAGGAGGAAGGGAGATTTTTCCTGAGATTCCCAGGAGTCATTAAATAACATTTGCCTTTCTTCTTGGGAATGAAGGAAAGGAAAAAAGGAAGGGTGGGAAGATGGGAACGTGGCTGGACCATCGGGCAGGCGGAAAGGTCCAGACCCTCTGGAGACGTCCCCACAAACCAAGCTGCCCTGTTGAGCACCTCTACCTCTGCTTTGTTTTTCAGTGGCACTACGCGGAGAGCTGGGTGAGTCCTTCCAGCTCCTTCCACCACCAAA